GTGTTAGGTTCTTAGGCAATCAACCTCTGGGAAAAGTGGAACCTTAAGCTGGAATGAGGCCAAACCCTTTGGCAAAACTCTCAAGCTTCACTAAACTTTTAATGTGGCCCATTTTTACCGGATTTTACCGGGAGAGAGTTTCGGGGGTCAACGCCCCCGGGGGCCCCGGCTTGACCGGCCTCCTGGGGGATCAGCCCCTGATCAACCAGGCTTTGCTGCGGGGCTGCACGCAAACCAACGTACGAGCCACAGCCCGGCTGATCAGGAACTGACTTTAGGTGCTTGTCCAGTGCCAGCTTGAAGACTGCCAGGTTTTGGTAATCCCCCTTATGTTGCTGGAGGCAGTTGAACGCCCGGGGCCCCTGACACTTTTTGTATGGTCTCTTAACGTGCTAGTGACACCCCTGTTTTTTTCATTGGGGGATAGTGCATCGTCTGCCAATTTTTTGTTTTTCGTAGTGATGATTTTCGTGTAAAGTTCGGTACTAGTCCCTCAGTTTTTCCCAGGTAATAATCATTATCTCTCCCTCCTGCTTCCAGGAATACAGTTTAAAAACCCCTCAACGCTCCCAGTAATTGAGGTGTTTTATCCTTTTTTGCGCGCCGTAAAGTTCCCCTGTACTTTTTTCTAGTCGGAAATTTTCACCTGCCTTGAAAGGTTGTTAAGTGCAGCAAATTCCAGCCTAGATAGAACAAGTGACCTGAAAGGGGGTCATCAGGGTTTTGGCCCCCCTAGTTTTTAAAGGGTTCTCATTATCCATCCTGTCTTTTTTTCTACAGATGCGATTGAACAATTTAGGGTCCTTAAAGGGTAGATCCCCGACAAAATCACCCCCAGTCTTTGACTTGGTGTTTTCTATTTCGGGGGCCAGAATTTGTTTTGTACCCCTATGAAGATTTAATTTCCTCATTTTACCATATCTGAGTAATTAAAAATTTCTCATCTTAAAAATTCATATTGTTTTTCTGCACCCCACTGAAAGTTTTGGGGTTGATTCCCCTGGACCCTGGGGTCTGAAAGGGAAGACACTGTCATGCAGATTCGGGTGTCATCTGCAAAGGAAGACAGGGTGCTGGGCTACATCCTTGTCTATGTCGGATGAGATGGGGAAACAAGATGGAGCTAGTACTGTCCCTTGGGGAACAGAGCTTTTCACCGTACTGCCCCGGACTTTCTCGTTGAGCCCTTCTTGTGCGGTGAGGAAATTTATAGATCCATCGACCCTTTTCCTGTTATTCCTTACGCGCTTTTTTGTGCGCATTACCCCATGGTCACACTTTCGAAGGCTTTTGCAAAGTCGATATATAATCTGCATTCTTTTTGTCTTCTAGTGCTTTTGGGACCTTGCGTAGTACCAGTAGCGAGACAACAGGAGCACCTGTTCAAACCCATGTTGCCCTGGGTTTGAAACTATTTTTTTTTCTAGAGGGGTGGTGATCTTGCTTCTTAGGCCCCTTTTTCAAAGATTTTTATGAAGGGGATGTTAGTGCTTTTGGGTCGTAGTTCTTTGCTTTTGCTTTACTGCCCCCCCTTTGTGGGGGGGGGCTATGTCTGTTGTTTTTAGTAACGAGGGACCCCCCCGTGTCCATGCTCCCTCCCATAGGATGAAAAGGCTCGTGATAGGGCTTCTTTGCAGTTCTTGATGAACACAGAGTTCCATGATCGGGCCCCGGGGGCAGAGTGCATGGGCATGTCATTTTCCCTGTTCGAAGCATTTGGCGTCAGGATAAATGGGATAGGTTTGTGTTAATCAAATTTTGGCTCCTCAAAAAAAAATTCATTTGATCTTCGACTCTCAGTCTGGTTGCGCTTCTAAAAACTGAGTCATATTGGGACTTGATACTCACTCATTTTCCCTTCGTCTTGTGTAGGACCCACTTGTTTAAAATAGGGGCCCCCAAAACTGGGGGTTGTTTTTCCCATTTTTTATTTGGGATAGGGGAAAAAAATATTTGGGTTTTTTTTCGTTTTTATTTATAGCTTTTAGTTCTTCCCCGATTCCCGACTCCTAAAGGATTCTTTTTACTTTAAATTCGATGCTTGCTATTTCTCTGACCAGTGTCCCCTCGCATTTTTGTATATTGACCTCTTTTAGCCCTCTTTATTTTTTTTCCGTCCCTTAAAGGGGGCCCTGTCCTTTCTGTTTTTACATCTACTCCCCCTTTTTCTTAGAGAAATAACCTTTTGCAAAACATCGATGCCACCGGTTTTTAAACTGTTCTAGGGATAAGTTTGGTCGTGTTTCTTATATATCTTCCCAGCTTATATCGGTTTGGACTTGGGTTTTCTGGTCCCACTTTATGTTTTTGTTATTGAAGTTGAATTTGGTGAATGCTCCCCCCTGACTAGTCTCATTTTGTCGGTCTGGGGCTCCTCGCATACATGTCTGAACTCAATTGGTTTTGATCTGATTATTGTTTTGATATGGTGAATTTCTTATCAGATATCATTGTTATGAAAATTTAGGTCTAGTGTATTCCCATCTAGTAGGCTCTATTTTTTCTGGTTTAAATTTAATTTGTGCAGAGATTTAAAAGCTCGTGTGAGTGTAGTTTTCATAGAGCTGCCCCCTGTGTTATTACTGAACAAATTTTTGCTATATTCCTCCATTTTTGGTGCCCTTAATTTAAACCCCCGAACAAATGTTGGGGGCAGGGGCTGGGAAATTTTCCCCAAAAGTGGTCCCCAAATTTTTAAAAGCTTTTTCCCCGGAATTGCGGGGGTTCTCCGGGAGGGTTGTGACTACCACAATGACTATTTTGGTTCCGACCTTTACTGCAAAACTGCCCTACCATTTTTAGGCATTAAGCAGTTCTGGCAAACAATGACTCTGCAATTACAGGCCAACCCCCCCCCCTTTTTCCGTTCACCTGTCACATCTGTATGGTTGTAACCCGGGGTCCATATTTCATTTTCCAAAGGGTCCTTTATGGGTCTCAGTGAAAGCCGCGAACATTGCCTTTTCCTCTGCAAGCATCCACGGGTGAAAGATTTTGTTGTTTTTTGCTGGGTTTAGACCCTTTTTATTTGCAAAAAAGAAAGTTATCGACTGGTATTTTTTATGGGGGGGGGTTTTTTTTTCCGGATTAGTATCTGTATCGTTGGTTTGGAGTGGAGGGCCCTCGACGTGGGTTCCACTCCAGGGAAAGACTGGATTTGGTGACGATTTTTGCCATTTCCTGCCGTTTTTTTTTCCCTTTCCGGGACAAAAAACCTCTCCCCTTTATGGCTGTGGGTACCCCGGTTTTCCCATGGGCCCGGATGTTTTTTTATCTTTTTTTCCCCTTTAATGGGATGCCTGGCAATTTAATTTTAGCACAGTCTTTTCCCGACGAAGAGGGCACATTTTAGGGTGAAAAAGCTTACAGGAAGGGTTTGCATTTTCCCGTTGTCATATGGGCAGACATTTTCTAGGGGGGTCATAGTTTTACGTTCTGTTTTTTCCCGATTTTTCCCCGCCAGCAGATACCAAGTGCATAGTAGTGCACAGGCTTGGTTTTTCCCCTTGCCTTGGGTTTTTTGTGACTGTATTCCCTGTTGGGGCATGTTTCCCTGTCTTAAACTTCTATCCTCCCTAGCACCAACAATGGAGCTCCCACCAGTTGTTTTTGGTAATTTATCCTCACATTGCTTTGGGGAGTCCTCTTGTTTGCTATTTTCCTGCGGTATTTCTAGTTTGCAATTTTGGGTTTTTAAATCTTATCTTTGACTACACTTGTTTCCCTACTATGGCTCCTATCCCCAAATGTGGTCATTTATAGTATTCCTTCCTGCGTATAATTCCCGACAAACCTGGACAAAATCTCCAGCTTCATCATTACTGTCTCCCAGGACAGTATCTCCAGCTTCACCATTTCTTGTCTCCCAGGACAGCACCTCCAGCTTCACCATTTCTGTCTCCAGGACAGCACCTCCAGCTTTACTATTACTGTCTCCCAGGACATCACCTCCAGCCTTACAGTTTGTGACTTTCATGGCCAGTTTTCAAGGGGAGTACCATTCAGCCCCGACTTTTTATGTTCCCATCTGTTTTTAGAAAACTTCCAGGTTTTCTATGAAAGCAGCTTGATGTTGTCCTCTTTTAATACCCTTGTGATTTTAGTCCACAGATTTTCCTCATTTGGGCATACCCAGAAACACTTCTCTGTTTTAATACTGCTTGTAGCTAGTTCTGGGATATAATAATAATAATAATAATAATAATAATAATAATAATAATAATAATAATAATAATAATAATAATAATAATACATGTTCTTTTATTTCTACAGGGTATACAGACCACAGCTGACATACTACTATATGTGATAAATGGTTTAAAACCGACAAGTTCAAGATTGAGACACTTATGCAACATATGGGAATCTTTATTGAAGAAACATTTCGCCACTCAGTGGCTTCATTAGTCCAATACAAATCAGACCTACTTCGACTAGTGGATGGTACCACTATGACCCCGCCTGCTTCGCCTCACCTCACTACAGTATATAAGCCACTTCTATGGCCCTGTGCTGTACTTTCTACAAGACTGATGGACTGAACACATAGACTCTAGGCTGAGGGACTGATTACCTCAAACTCCTCCTCTCCTTACACCCTTCTGATATGTATTGGTCTGATGAAGCCATTGTGTGATGAAACTACTATATAGAAAGCCCCTTGTTATGCAGAGCATTTCGGGCAAATTAGGTCAGTTTTTTCCCAGGATGCGACCCACACTAGTCCACTAACACCCAGGTACCCATTTTACTAATGGGTGAACAGGGACAGCAGGTGTAAGGAAACAGAAAAAAAAACAATATTTCTATCTTTGCCGGGAATCAAACCCGTTCCCTCAGCGTATGAAGCGAGAGCTTTGTCAACCAGGCCACGGGCTACTTGTAAAATGGAAAAGGATGGAAGAGTGACTGAAGGAGAGTGATGTGGAAGAAGAGAAGATACAACGAAGATAAGAACTCAAGAATGAGGTGGGAATTATATCCGTCAAATTGTAACTTACCTGGAGGCCGACGTGTAGCCAGTGGAGGAAGAAGTAACCATCACCGTGAAGTGGAACATCAGGATCCACCATCACTAAAGTGTAAGTCTTTTTCTGAAAGACAAAAACACAAGTCTTACCCCCACACACCTATATAACTGCTGCGACGTGCAAAAAATCTGTACGACACATTAAAAAAAATATATATACGTTACAGTAGGGAAGAGACAAATCCTACTGATGACCATGAGTGAATGTTAACCACTGCCATGAATTTAATCAACTGGACTCCATCAATCATAGGTTTTAGTCATGGTAACAATTACAGTAGCAGGATATAAGACGTGTTGGTGAGACAGCCACTCTCACAAGATCTTTGGTAACTCTAACATAACAACAGTCGGAATGGCTCGGCTATGTCTGAATTACACAATTATGAATATAAAGCAAGATATCAAAATAATATAAAAATATATGTGAAAACATGATATATGATATAAAAACAAGATATCAATCAAAAACATATTTTTGATATCTAATTATTTTGATATCAAAAATGATATCAAAGGATAAGATATAAAAATAATAAGATATTATATTAATAAAACATATAAGATATAAAAAAAATTACTGAACGAAAATCGAAAAAGAATAATTTGGTATATTTTCCCTTATTTTAGCTGATACAATGGTTTGTTTATTAGTTCTTTGAGTTTTCTGGGATACTGGCAGAAATAGACAAATTGTACAGCGCTAAGAAGACCTAGCAGACCCAAGTACTGCAAGATTTCATTTACCAAACGAAAAATTTATTTTAGCAGGATACGAACTACCTTGTAACAGATAAGTGAACTATAGATATAAATCCATATGTACACCTGTTAATCCTTTCGGGGCCTAGTTCCTAGGGTTTATGTGTATCCACATGCTCTTGCGCTACCCTCCACAGGATGATATATGCTCTTGCGCTACCCTCCACAGGATGATATATGCTCTTGCGCTACCCTCCACAGGATGATATATGCTCTTGCGCTACCCTCCACAGGATGATATATGCTCTTGCGCTACCCTCCACAGGATGATATATGCTCTTGCGCTACCCTCCACAGGATGATATATGGCCTGCACAGTAAACTAGCAACTTCGGTGGGAAAATCTAATCTAAATCTAAACTTACGAACACATTCCTGTATCTTTTAAACTTCTAAATAAGTTGTTTATCTAGGCAAAAAATGCCTCAGAGGAAGTTTGTTTGACAAGTCTGAAGTAAAGTAAAAGGACACAAGTGCAACTAATGTGACATTTATTGTGGCAACGTTTCGCTCTCCAGGAGCTTTATCAAGCTCCTGGAGGTAATGGCTTGATAAAGCTCCTGGAGAGCGAAACGTTGCCACAATAAATGTCACATTAGTTGCACTTGTGTCCTTTTACTTTACATATTGTCGGTAATTCTACCAACTTTATTACAAGTCTGAAGTAGATCTTAGCACTTATGACATTAAGTGGCTTTTTAAGTTCCTTGTTAGTGAGAATGGATGAGTGTAACTCGGGATGTTCGTAAGTTGAAAGACTTCCTGCAGATATCTTGTAGATACGTGACTCACCAAGTCGTAATTACACAGTTGCAAACAAATCATGAAACGGGATGGGTCTTCATCCCATGGTGAGTGAATTTTAGGACTCACTGGCCATGGTTCAAACCCCACCCGTTCCTTGATCTACAGATACAGCAACAATCTGTACTTACAGGATCAGCCAGGTGATAGAAAACAGCTCCCTGATTTGTAAACAACAGTTTGTGGTAGAGTCTGCTATCACAACCACTCACGGCCACCTGGAAGGTTAAGACGAGTTTACCCTGGATCCTAATATCAAGTTTATTTTTCCCCTGTTATCTACCTTGTCCATAATTAATATCGCATTTGCTTTGTCTGCTTTCGCAAGGTGAAGTCTAGGATCTTTCCTTAATTAAGTAAGTTTATTCAAGTATACAGAGTTACATAGATTATCAAACATAGCAGCATATGTGTAGAGAAGTTGGGATAACAAAAAAATCAGACAAAGTGACGTATTTCCATTGGGGCTCTCTACAACACAATGGTCCTCAAAGATTTGTTAAGTTATGCCATGAATTATGGAAAGATCCTGGACTTCACCTTACGAAAGAAGATAAAACAAATGCGATAGTAATTATGATCAAGGTAGATTATAGTGGAAAATAATAGATCATAGATTTAAACTTACTCCCAGTTCAGTACATCCACACTTACTACTGTGCAATCTACATCTACAGGACCTTAAATTCCAATATTAACCTTGACCTAAAACGCTTTCTTGATAGTTGTGACAGAACTCACAGGCATAACACCAGACACAAACATCTCTATGACATTCCCCGTGTCCGACTAAACCTTTACAAAAATTCAATGTGTGTCAAAGGGCCTAAAATCTGGAACACCCTACCTGAAAACTCTAGAACAGCAGACACATTCATCACTTTCAAAACTACCGTTAGAAAACATCTTATCTCCCTGATACACCCCGTCAACTAACTACATAAAAACCACCTGGTGGTTCACACTTACACTCACTCACCCATTTGACTATAATCACAGAAATAAGAATCTTAATCATAAAATAATGAATCCCATCTAGTCATAAGTTTGCCTGTGCTACTCCAATATAGAACCTGTGTATTGTGCCAAAACAAAAGCATTTACATTGCTAAACTCACAAACTATAATGTAGTCAATTAGCCTTAATACCAACTTACTCCAAAATTTGTAATAATTTAGAGTTAAGATTTAATCTAAGTCTGCTCGAAATGCCTAGCCATGCTAGGTGTCCTAGTGTCCCCCTCTGTAATTAGTATTTTATAACATGTAAACCACACAATATCCAAAACCTGTAAACCCCACATTGTAATTTTTATAGAGAATAAACTTGATTGATTGATTAGAAAACACTTAATGCATAATATACATCGTCTACAAATCATTATTTTATAGGCAGAAGCTGCAACTTTGGCTTATAAAAATGACGTACCAAAGAAACAGTGTGAATGTATTGTTGCAAGAACTTTACGAAAAAATATATAAATTGATTTCATTGATGTTAAATAATAATATATATTAAGTTAACCTAAAATAAGGAAGAAAGGATTGGTCTAAATATTTGCAAGTTAACTATGATGATAGTTAAAGAGAAATATTTTAGTGCATAAGAGAAAACTGAAGACATTAATGCATTATTGTCAGTCACAGGTCTGTCACAGGCCTATGTCACAGGCCTATGTCACAGGCCTGTCACAGGCCTATGTCACAGGTCTATGTCACAGGCCTGTCACAGGCCTATGTCACAGGCCTGTCACAGGCCTATGTCACAGGTCTATGTCACAGGCCTATGTCACAGACCTATGTCACAGGCCTATGACAACTAAAAAAAAAAGGACTCTTTTGGATGTGTGGTGAAAGAATTGATAAAAAAGAGCATGTGCTATTAAATATTAATCAAATGCTGCAGAATTTTTCAATATTGGAGTGTGGGAAAATAATTCTGGGTCTAAATGAAGAAGTATTGTTTGTCTCACCGAGATAATTGAGCTGAGATGTAAACAAGATAACTAACTCAGCTAAATCATTTTATTCAGTTTGATGATCATTATCAAATGATTTATAAATGAATGGTTAAGAAAAAGTATTATTAATAATTTATAAGAAATTTAAAATTTATCGCTAAAAATGGTGTAAATATTTTTGGCAAATGAAAAATACATTTGGTAATTACCATAAAAAATGAAAATATGCAAGAGAGTCATTCAATTCATTACTTTTTAATATAATAAAGACGCTTGTCAGGAGACATTTGTCAGCTGAGAGACTCTGAGGTGAGAGCGAAGGTTGTGACCGGGTATTGTATGGTACAAGTTGGGTCAGATAGGTCAGCAAACACGACAGTTGTTCCCTGATACCAGTCGTAGTTGTATGATGACCCACAACTGCTGATTTTAGTCAGCTGACCGAGGTCTTCCACTGTTTTATTATTATTATTATTATTATTATTATTATTATTATTATTATTATTATTATTATTATTATTTTAATATTGTTGTTGTTGTTATTATTATGATTATTATTATTATGAGAAATTAGAGTAAATAAGTACGATCCATGGAAGAGAAGGTATCAACAGCCCTTGAGCAGCATCAAGGCTGCAGTCATCAAGGACACCAGAGATCCATTGTGCCTTGATACAACTGCAGCTACAGCACTGTATGACAAACATACAGCTACAGCACTGTATGACAAACATACAGCTACAGCACTGTATGACAAACATACAGCTGTTGCACTGTATGACAAACATACAGCTACAGCACTGTATGACAAACATACAGCTACAGCACTGTATGACAAACATACAACTACAGCACTGTATGACAAACATACAGCTGCAGCACTGTATGACAAACATACAGCTGCAGCACTGTATGACAAACATACAGCTGCAACACTGTATGACAAACATACAGCTACAGCACTGTATGACAAACATACAGCTACAGCACTGTATGACAAACATACAGCTGTTGCACTGTATGACAAACATACAGCTACAGCACTGTATGACAAACATACAGCTACAGCACTGTATGACAAACAACAGCTGCAGCACTGTATGACAAACATACAGCTACAGCACTGTATGACAAACAACAGCTGCAGCACTGTATGACAAACATACAACTACAGCACTGTATGACAAACATACAGCTGCAGCACTGTATGACAAACATACAGCTGCAACACTGTATGACAAACATACAGCTACAGCACTGTATGACAAACATACAGCTACAGCACTGTATGACAAACATACAGCTACAGCACTGTATGACAAACATACAGCTGCAGCACTGTATGACAAACATACAACTACAGGACTGTATGACAAACATACAGCTGCAGCACTGTATGACAAACATACAGCTACAGCACTGTATGACAGACATACATCTACAGCACTGTATGACAAACATACAGCTGCAGCACTGTATGACAAACATACAACTACAGCACTGTATGACAAACATACAGCTACAGCACTGTATGACAAACATACAGCTACAGCACTGTATGACAAACATACAGCTGCAGCACTGTATGACAAACATACAACTACAGGACTGTATGACAAACATACAGCTGCAGCACTGTATGACAAACATACAGCTGCAGCACTGTATGACAAAACATACAGCTTACAGCACTGTATGACAACATCAGCTACAGCACTGTATGACAAACATACAGCTGCAACACTGTATGACAAACATACAGCTACAGCACTGTATGACAAACATACAGCTACAGCACTGTATGACAAACATACAGCTGCAGCACTGTATGACAAACATATAACTACAGCACTGTATGACAAACATACAGCTGTTGCACTGTATGACAAACATACAGCTACAGCACTGTATGACAAACATACAGCTACAGCACTGTATGACAAACATACAGCTGCAGCACTGTATGACAAACACACAGCTACAGTCCTGTATGACAAACATACAGCTGCAGCACTGTATGACAAACATACAGCTACAGCCCTGTATGACAAACATACAGCTGCAGCACTGTATGACAAACATACAGCTGCAGCACTGTATGACAAACATATAGCTGCAGCACTGTATGACAAACATACAGCTACAGCACTGTATGACAAACATACAGCTGCAGCACTGTATGACAAACATACAGCTACAGCCCTGTATGACAAACATACAGCTGCAGCACTGTATGACAAACATACAGCTACAGCACTGTATGACAAACATACAGCTGCAGCACTGTATGACAAACATACAGCTACAGCACTGTATGAACAAACATACAGCTGCAGCACTGTATGACAAACTATACAGCTGCAGCACTGTATGACAAAATATACAGCTGCAGCACTGTATGACAAACATACAGCTGCAGCACTGTATGGCACACATACAGCTACAGCACTGTATGACAAACATACAGCTGCAGCACTGTATGACAAACATACAGCTACAGCACTGTATGACAAACATACAGCTGCAGCACTGTATGACAAACATACAGCTACAGCACTGTATGACAAACATACAGCTGCAGCACTGTATGACAAACATATAGCTACAGCACTGTATGACAAACATACAGCTGCAGCACTGTATTGACACACATACAGCTACAGCACTGTATGACAAACATACAGCTGCAGCACTGTATGACAAACATACAGCTGCAGCACTGTATGACAAACATACAGCTGCAGCACTGTATGACAAACATACAGCTACATCACTGTATGACAAACATACAGTTGCAGCACTGTATGACAAACATACAGCTGCAGCACTGTATGACAAACATACAGCTGCAGCACTGTTGACAAACATACAGCTGCAAGCACTGTATGACACACATACAACTACAGTACTGTATGACAAACATACAGCTGCAGCACTGTATGACAAACAACAGCTACAGCACTGTATGACAAACATACAGCTGCAGCACTGTATGACAAACATTACAGCTACAGCACTGTATGACAAACATACAGCTGCAGCACTGTATGGACAAACATA